AATTAAAATAATCTGATGATTAAAATATTAAGATTTTTTATGAAATCATTTAAATATTTATAATAAATCAACATATAAAAACAATTCATTAATAGTATTTAAATAATTTTATTGAGAATTTTAATATTTTAAATGACAAACATTCATTTTCATTTTTCTTTCATAATAATTTATCCACAATAAAAATTTTACTAATAATTTAAAAGAGTAAAAGATAGCACTACACTTTAAAACTTCTGATTTTGATTTCAAATTAAAAATTTTAATTAATCAGTGGGAACCAATTCAGCCAAAATCTTAAATCCGCTACATCTCTTTTGGAGAAAGTATCAAAATCTTAATCAGTGGAGGATATTTTATATTCTCTACTTATATTTTTATACAAAGAGAATATATTTTAATAACGTGGTATTTTATCTTACATCGAAACTTATTAGTTATTACTAGCAATTTTTATTTTGCAAAATCATATCAATTTTGACTAAATTAACAATAAAAGCATTCCTGGCGGAGACTTCTGAAGGGAAAATCTTATAATTTTTTTTTTCTTTTCCTTTTGGGAAAGCCTTATAATTAGTTCTTGTTCTTCTTTACACTATTCCTGAAGGATTGAATTCAAAACCTCTCGACTCCAGCCAGTTCTTTGATCACTACACAAATGCTTTATTGGCTTTCACAAGTCTCTATCTATCTTGATAAAGTAACAGAAATTAGAATAATTGCTCGTAAAATTCATGATTCATGAACATGAAAGAGGGAACAAATTTCAGGGTTATAAACTCATCATTACGTGGCAATATGTCATTGTTCCCTCAACCTATCTCAGAATATCAGAACTAACACCAGGAATCGAAGCAGTACCAGTTATATCCATCAGTTAACAGATAGTTGGAAGATCAAGTGAGCTCCACAGACAAAATTCACCTTCATTGCTTGAAGAAGATCCTGTTTCCACTGAGCTGTTGGGAGAATCCAGGCTCTCCTCCACTTTCTTCCCTATCACTCCATTTTCAATTCCTTCTCCTTTCTTGTCCTCTAGACTTTGAATGGACAGTTCAGCTTTTACTCTTCCACCCTTGACATTTTCTAACCCGAACCTCAGCCTCAAACACTTTGGTATTCCATTGAAAGCATAAAAAGAAGTAGAGAACTTCCTCTCGTACTTCATTCTCTTCATGGCAGCTCTCAACACTGAGGGCTTGTTCGAGAAATTCTCTGCCTCCACTGGCTCTTCAATCTATTCAGCCATCTTGAAGGCAGAGTAATAACTGGATGATCCAATGTCATCCACAAAATGAAAATCAAGTGCTTCCATATAAGTCCTTCTTCAACAATGTCGTCACACCTGGAAGATTGAGCAGCATCACTGAAATTGCAATAATCCAACCCCAAATCTCTCCCACTAGAATCCGCCTTCTTTGTTAAACATGATTCTAGACTCGTTGTCAAGTAATCACAAGCATTTGCAGTAGTATTACTGATGTAGTAGCCATTGGAGATGCTATAATCTTCAAGATCATTGAGAAAATCAGTGAATTGTGTATCAAACAAATCCCCTGATTCTCCATCATCCTTCTACTCTTCTCCTTGAATTTCTTGCTTGTTGATCAAGGAAGAATCTAGCAAGGAAGCAAAGGTGTTGTTTCTGGCTCTCAACCTTTGGAGAAGGAGGCTAGTGATCTTAGAAGGAAGAGCTGGGGTAGGATTAGAAGCTGGAGAACATGGCCAGAAGTTGGTCCTGGTGTTGGCACCACAGAGGATGCAGCCTGCCTCATCAAAAGCCCTGGCTGCTTCCTCAGCAGTGTCATAGGTGCCTAGCCACACTCTTATCTTCCGTATGGTGTCTTTGATCTCAGGCACCCATATGCCAGATGGCCTTTGCCGGACTCCAACAAATTGCTTCTGAGCCCTCCTGGCTCCTCCCAGGGCAGTAGCAGCTGCTTCTTCCTTCACCATCTCATCCCAAGTCATTGTTTGCTCTCTGGTGTCCTTTTCCATCGCTGCTTGTACCCTTTCTATTGTATGACATGGGAGACAAATGGTGAAAAATGATAATCAACAAGATAAAAAATGGTTAAGACCATGTCCTGAACAAGGCAGAATCATAATCAC